TGAGTAATTGTGCTTAAGCATATGCTTTCGACTCTATAAAACCTGGGTGAGTAATATGAGTTTGAGGGAAAAGAAGAGCCCTCTGTGTTACTTTACACAGTTGGATACCCAGCTGCTCTGGTTTTCGTATTGCAAGTGCATTTCCTTTGCAAACTTGTTAGCTCCTGCATTATTTGGAGGCTCTCTGCCTTTTCAAAGCAGGCAGCATTTAAAAACTACAGGGCAGAACCTATCTGATTCTATTGCTGTCACCAGCAGCTGGCGCACCCAGCGTCCTCTGAGGAAGTTAGCTGCCCTCTAGCCACTGTGAATATTGTGCGAACACAGCACATCTGCGACAGTGGCTCACTGCGCTTGCGCGGCTGTAGAGGCCAATGCTCCATTCGTGTGCGGTTTGGCAGCATCAAAATTCACACATAGAGACAGCTGGTGAAAGAGTTTGCTAAGTGGTGTGCCCCTTTCTCTACCAGCCACCTGGATGATTCTGAGAGGCACAATGTGGCCATCACTCTTTAACGCATTGCTTGGTAGCTAGCATTGGCCAGAACTTCTTGGGAGTTTTCAAAGGCAATACAATGCAATATTCAGTTTTTCTGCACAGCTCCCAAAGAACTCTTGGTTGTTTCAGCTTAATTGTATCCCTTAAGTGCCTCTTAACTCTGACCTTCACTCCCCTTTTACTATCCTGTCATTATACCTCTACTCTCTCAAGTGCAGGGAAGTGCAGCGACTCTGATATTACGCATTCATTCCTTCAATCACTCAATAAACATTTTTAGAGCATCTTAAATCTTAACTTTCACTGACACATCTTGAAATCTTGGTCCACTCTGCCTCATCCTTCCTCTTTCTTGTTTTTTTCTCTTTTCTAGTGGCTTTGATTTATTCTTTATGACAATGTTTTTCAAGCTCTGATCCACTCCCTTCTTTCCATTAATCCAGTCGCAGACTTCCTTGTTTTGCCATGGATCATGTACTCTGTCATGCTGCTGAGAGGTTCCTTGATGAATTCTTGCATGACAGAGATGAAAATCAGATACAACTTTTGAGAAACACACTTTACTTCATATATCACGCAAGCTTCACCTGCACCTGTTGTTGCAAATATAGCGATCTGCTTATGAAAGGGCACAAGGATGATGTCTATTGCAAAGAATTGAATACTTTTTGCCGAAAATACAAGCCGCATTGCAAAAACTTTCAAAGGTTGCCTAGTTAACCATAACCATTATGTTACCATTTAGTCAAAATTGGTGCATCTAGATAATCTTAGTGGTGGAAGTCTTGCCCTGAATTAAACCAACAATTCATTGAGCATTTATTATGTGGAAGGCACATGGGATATACAAAAAGGTGCAAGATATTCTTGCCTCCTTTGAGAAGCTTAAATTTCATTGTGGAGATCTATACATATAAAACGAAATTAATAATACAAAGTGAGGTGTCACAAATCATTCAAATATTAAGTGAAGTAGGAAAGAACATGCATGCACAAGGTGATTATTGGTAGGCATTATCATCAGAGAAATATATGGACAAAGGATATTTTCCCATATTTAATTAACTTCTTTTTGGAGTCAGATAGACTTATTACTTCTGCAGATAGTTGCCTCCATTGAGAGAATACATTCAGATTACTCCATTTATTAATTCTTCATTGTTTGAGACAGATTTATTTTGAATTATTGTTGGACATTTTCCTCTTTTTGTTTCTTTTAAATTGTCCAATTTAATTGCTTATTTGTTTCTGTGGAAGATTATGCCACTGGAATTTTTTCTACTAGGAATTCAGTCCTTGTTTGGGGGTTATGTGTTTCTTTTTTATTGTTAATAATGAATTTGATTCATTGCAAGCTAATTATAATTACTGTACAAATAAAGAATTATTGAATGTCAAGGCATTGTAGTGAAAAAGCACCAAGTCTTAGAATCAGATGGGCCTGAATTTGAATCTTACTATGTGACTTAATTTAACTTATTTAGTGTCTTTGCCTTTATTTGATAAATGTGCATATCTCATCTAATACCTATTTTACAGGGTTGATCATAAGACTACATAAGATAAAATGTATAACGCTTCTGTTTCATTCATAAAAAGTGCCCAATAAATACTAGCAACTATTATTATTAGCCTTTTCTAATTATTCCAATTCTTTCATGTATGTGAGGAGAGCTTCCACTGAATACAAAAAAGGAGCCTGTATTTTTAGGAAATATTTTAAGGTCACTGGATCAAACTAAGGGCTTTTTAAAGTTAATGCTTTCAGGAGTTGTACTGGCTGGAGAGAACATTGTCTTTTTTTCATGTTGTTTAGATTTTAAGATTTTAATGGCACTTCATGGGTGGTCTGCCAGTTGAGTGCTTGTCTTTTCTTTCTTTTTTTTTAAGAGTATCTATAATTCTTGGAATGGGTATTTTGCCAATTTTCACATGCTTTGTTTTCTCTTCTCAAATCAACATGTCTACGTATTTATACAATTCAGAGTTCAAACAACATTCATTACACTGCTGTCACTGTACATAAAGACAATCCAAACTTGTTATGCCCAAATCAAAAACATGATCCAACAAAGCGAACAGATGTGTTGCGTGAGCAAAGGCTCACCACGTTGTTCCTATTTATCATCTGCGCTGTTTGGAGGGTGTGCCTAGCACTGTGAGGTGGTGGATTAAGGGTCTTGCTTATTGCATTCATTTAGTGAAACCATTTTATGCATATTTCATTCCTCTAATCTACTCTATTGCACTCCCCTTTGGGTGACAGAATGGTTTTAAGAAGTTTGGTTAAACTTGTCAAGCCTTTGAAATGGCTTTAAAATTGTTTTTATAATTATAAAATTATATTTATTCCAGAAAATAAAACACGCCTTCTTGATTTTGGAACTAAGATAATGAGCTTTCAAAATGCAGGCCATCTAGCTAAATTCCATCCAGCTTTCAAAATGTACACTGGGCTTTTCTAATTTGCTGTGGTTGCTTTCTGCTGCCTTTTGCACCTTTGCCATATAATAGGACGGCAAAAACACAAGCGCTTGTCTGTGGAAAATAGATCTGGTATCCTCTCTCATTCGGAAGTCTCCTTGAAAGTGAAATTCCAAAAGCTCCTACTGTGCTGCCAGGGTTTTCCCTTGGGCCCCCTCCTTGATCTGGCTTCCTCCCAGGGACAGAGTGAGGGAGAGCAGGCCAGGGCTTCAGGCTTCCTTCAGGCCCCACTTCTGTAAGGGGGTGTTTGTAGCAGGTGCGCTAGGATGTTGAAGGAAAACATCAATTTGGTCTACCCGGCTCAGGTATAGATCTTTATAAAAAAACCAGATCAGCTGTTTTGAAGTCAGATTAGCTGAAAATGACTGAAATTTCAGAAAGGATTAAAGTACAAATTCTGCATCCCTCCAGCATGGTTTTCTTGCCTTTCTATTTGATTATCATCTCCAGAGTTAGCTAGGAATTGCTGTCACATGTCCCCACCTCTTTTTCCATCTTTCAGATTTTCCAGTGCCTTGTAGCACATTTCCGTGCCCCTGGTGAAGGATGGTTTCCAGTAATTAATATCCTCATGATAGGGCGGGGAAGGGCGAAGTGCATGTACATGAGAATAAACTGCCTGGGTTCAACTCCCCATTTTGCTAGCTACTCTGGTAATAGATAAGAAAGTCAGCCTCTCCTAATTTGTGTTTCCTCACCTGTGCGAATGGAGATACCATTTGGCTCCTTCATAAAAGGCTGAGTTTTAGAACAATAGAATTACCAGCTGCCTTCTCTCCACATGCTGGGGCTTGCTTAACTTTTAACAAAAATTATGATGCAATAAGAGTTCCAGGAGACAATGAGACAGGCAACCAGCCAAAGGGTTTGGGGAGTTTCTTTTGGGGTTCCTATAAATATGCTATTACTCACTGTGCTTCAGTTCTCTGCCAAAGGTGTGATTCTTCCTTTCTTGGGCAGGAAAAGACTCCTGAGCTGGCTCACTTGGTGGTGATGGCGGCCCCTAGGTGTTTACCCACAGCCCACAGTCAAGCTCTGAAGTCATGTGCTGGACTTAGAAGTTCTAGACATACTGTGAATGAAGCCTGACTGTGACCCCTTGGTGACATTTAACCATAACTCTTACATCATTTGAGGCAGGATCAGAGGTGGGTGACATCCTATTACAACTTGTTTTCCTGATGCAGAGAACTGCAGGGCAGATATTCATGTTTTGCTTTTACCTTAATTCCCTAATTGAAACATTAAAAAAGAAGCATGCTTAATTTCATAATTTCTAGACAAGGAGACTTTAATCAGGAGATTCTGCAGCTGGTATGTTTTCTCCTCTCTTTGTGTAATTTATCTTTTGGAAACGGGACATGCACGTCTAGAGCGTCCCTTGCTTAATATTTCCCATTTATTAACTTTGTATGTTCTATAAGAAAAAAAATAATTGCATGATGATATTAGAGAGCTTACATAAGATATATTTATTGTTAAATGAGATTACATATTCCCAGCATCTAGCATGGTGCTTGGTACTCATTAGACTCATAAACGTAAATAAAGACCCTACCCTCACTTCCTCTTCCCACCACATTGGAGCTACTGTTTAAATGCCAATGGCAGTGGGTTTTTAAGCTATATGCTGTTCCTCCACATTTAGTCTTTAAGGAATAGAAATTATTAAACTATTATTTTTATTACAGCACTAGTTCTTTTTCAGTTTGCTATTTCACGTTTTGTTGACTATGCTGTAACTCCCAGAATGTAAATGTTCTGTGCATGATATCTGTTCCAAACCACCTTGTCTGGGCTGTTGTGGAGGTGAAAAGTTTTAAAATACATCTGGTTTTAGACCAAGGACAAATGTTCCTTTAAAGGTAACAGGTAGTACTCTCCCCTGTTTCTAAGACTCTGTTACCCATCAGTTCCTTTCCCACCTTCCTCCACCCCCATGCTGCAAGCTTCCTGGTTAAAGGCTTCCTGTTTAATGGTTTCATGTTTACCCACCTCTACATGACCTATGTTACTTATGTGGATCCCCAGTCTCATCACTATGAAGGATGAAGAGATACTTGACTTGGTGGGGGATCCCCAAGACAGCCTTATTCCTGGACCTTCTCTCCCCCCAAGCAAAAGCCAGTATTTTTTTTTTTTTTTTGAGACAGTCTCATGCTAGAGTGCCATGGCATCAGCCTAACTCACAGCAATCTCCAACTCCTGGGCTCAAGCAATCCTCCTGCCTCAGCCTCCAGAGTAGCTGGGATTATGGGCGTGCACCGCTACCACGCCCAGCTAATTTTTTCTATTTTTAGCTGTCTGGCTAATTTTCTTTCCATTTTTAGTAGTGATGGGGTCTCACTCTTGCTGAGGCTGGTCTAGAACTCCTGACCTCAAGTGATCCTCCCACCTTTGCCTCCCAGAGTGCTAGGATTACAGCTGTGAGCCACCATGCCTGGCCAAAAGCCAGTTTGTAATGAGACTTGCTTTGGACACCAAGACTGTCCCCTAAAGCTTGTACATCTTGGCTACAAAGCTGGTTGATATGATTTGGCAGAGCACTTTGACAATGCCATACTTGAAATGAAAGAAAGAAATTGACTCCTAGCTACTTATTTGGAAAAGTTTTTGTTGTTGTTGTTTTTATTTGTTGTGCCTGGTCATCCCAGTTTCTGAATGCCTGGCCGCTGTCATTGTGGGTTAGCTGTCTCAGAGAGGCTTGTTCTGCTACCTCTGTACTTGCTGAGAGCCCCTAATGCCTTCTCTGGCTGTTCAAGGTAGAGACCGTTTCACTGGTAAGCTGCAGGCCCATTAGGAGGTCTGGTCAGGAGAGGACCTCAAGGCTTGCCTGTGTTACCTGTGAGTAAAAGACCAACTACTTAGAGAAAAAAAGAACTAGTTCTAGCTCCACCTCTGCAACTAAAAAGTCAGTAATCTGATTAATGGCATACTTCCAAAAAACAATATTTGAGAAGCAAATGATCAGGTAAATAAAAAGCATACATTTAATCAGATCAGATTAAACAGAATTTCTATATGTCAAAATAAATAGAAATTCTCTCCTAAATTCCTAGATCTAATAATCTTATTGATGAGTAAAAGTCATAGTAGCTGAAAAATACATAATGGACTTTTTTTGGGAAAGGAGAGAGAATATAATAATTCTATGATATTTTTTATTTTTAAAACCTAGAGGTATAGATTTAATCATCTGCTTGTTGATTGAAAACAGAATATGCACAACATCAAATGCTTTACAAAGGAGTATAACTGCTGAATGTACCTACAGAATCAGTCTCTTCTCCTGGGTACTCATTCTACTCCATCACGGGGCGAGACACAGTAAAGATGTTTCGAGGCTGCAGGGAACTCTCAGAAAAGGAGGCAAGACCACAGTGACCTTACACTCTGCACCAAGGGAATGAGTTAGGGACACATACTGGTTAAAGACAACTCAAGAAGAACAGTGAAAATATTGAGGCCCAGGGTCTGAAGGCTGACAATTTAATGACGATTTTGTGGACAGTTATCATGAGACATTTATCTTCTATTCCACAAAATGTCTGTCAGTGCAGCACTCATGATGTTCTAGGTATGGTGAAAGTTTAGGTCTAGGAAAGACACCTCTCTTCACTCAGATGGTTTACAGTCTGGAAGGGGGAGAAAGACATTTAAACAAATGAAGAACATGAAGGGTGTGATGTGGGTGGAAGAAGATGGCTCAGTGGGGCATTGGGAAGGACTAAGCATTGAGGGGAGTGGGAAAGGCTTCATAGAGGATGCAAAGAGAAACGTACTGGGATGCAGGCTTCAGAAAAATCAGCCAAGAGGCTTGTATATAAAAATTCTACTTACCTGGCTAGACCAGTCTTGGATTAAGCAAGTAAGGCAGAAGGGATTGAATGTTCCTGAGTCACATCCCTGTAATATTCAGCGAGGAGCACTGCAGAAGAGGATTCAAAGTCAGTTAATGATAGGGGCTGAGAGAGGTGTTGAATAATCTGGGAAATGTGTTCATGGACAGTTAGGTTTCAGAAATTGAGATTGGCAGCTGGGTGTGGTGGCTCACGCCTGTAATCCCAGCACTTTGCTATGCTGAGGCAGGAGAATCGCATGAGGCCAGGAGTTTGAGACCAGCCTGAGCAAGAGCAAGACCCTGTCTCTACAAAAACCGGAAAAATTAGCTGGGCATGCTGGTGTGTGCCTGTAGTCCCAGCTACTCGGGAGGCTGAGGCAGGAGTATCATTTGAGCCCAGGAATTTGAGGTTGCAGTGAGCTATGATGACATTACTACACTCTAGTCTAGTTAACAGAGTGAGATCCTATTTCAAAACAAAAGAAAAGAAATAAAATTGAGATTGGCTAAAGGAAAAGATTTCATATCAAGAGATCTCTTGGAGATTATTCAAAACAATAATTCTCAGCCCCACTTGTATATTACAATAACCTGGAGAGCTTTGCAACAACAATATTTTCATAGCTGGGCCCTACTCCTAGAAATTCAGGAGGGGTGTAGGCATGTTACAAAGGTTCCCTGAGGATTCTAACGTGCTATCAGGTAGAATCGCTGATTCAAACTAGTTGGTCAGAAATGTGAAAAGAGGATCAAGGAAGATCCACAAATATATAGACTAGCCACTGGTTTCCAAATTTGAGCATGCATCAGCATCACCTGGGTGTTAAGACATGGATTACTATGTCCTGCTCCAGAGTTTCTGATTTATTAGGTCTGGGGTGAGGTCCAAGAATTTGCGTTTCTCAGTAGTTTCTAGGTGATACAGATACTGCTGTCCAGGGATTTTAAGTACCACTAGATTAGATAAACTGTGGAAGAGGAAGGATTTGTGTGATGTGATATAATAAGAAATATATATTTGGTCTTAGTTTCTGGCACAGAGCTTCCAAAACCCTTGACATTTCGTCAGTAATGCAGTGAGTGGAACATCTTTTGTTGTTCACAATAAGATCAATGGTGCCCAAGTTTATGCTAAAAATATGACTGGTGGCTGGGGGTGTCTAGGTAGCCAGAGGGTGGGGCTGATCACCAGAAAGACCCAGGCACAATTGGAGGCTTAGAACTCTCAGCCCCTCTCCCCTCCTCCTCAGGAGGTAAGAAGGCAGGAGATTGAGTTGATCACCAATGGCCATCGCTTTAGTCAGTCATGTCCACATGAGAGGACAGAAACTCCTGTGCTTGGGACCCTTCTGGACCTCGCTCTATGTACCTCTGCACAGAAGCTGTTCTTCTGTGTCCTTTATGAAAACCAGTGGCGGTAAGCAAAGTGTTTCTCTGAGTTCTGTGAGCCGTTACAATTACTGAACCTGGGGAGGAGGCTCCAGTTCGCAGCCACATTGGCCGGAAGCTGTGCGTAAGCTGGAGAGCTCCGCTGGCAGCTGGTGTCTGCAGTAGGGGCGGCCTGGTGGGCCCCAGCCTGTAACCTGTGCGGTCTGCTCTAAATCTGCGCAGTTAATGTCGGAACTGAACTAAATTGCAGGACACTCAGTGTCCACAAAGAACTGGAGAATTGTTTGGTGTGAAAACCCCATACATTTGGTGTCAGAAGTGTTATGAGTAGAGAAACAATTTTTCTTTTAATTTGCAGTTTAGGTTAATCTGGGCCTGGTGGGCCCACCAGTGAGGCCCTAGGTCTGCCTGCTGTTGTGAGGGCTTGGGCAATAGCAGTTGTGATTAGATCTATGATCTAAAATCTCGCTACTCAAACTGGAGTCCTCGGACCAGCAGAGCAGGCGTTACCTGGATGTTGGTTAGCAATAGAGACTCTTAGGCCCCACTCCAGTGCTCAAATCTTTAACAAGATCTCCATAGAATTTGCATGCATCCTAAAGTTGGAGAATCACCCCAGCGGTTCTTAGCCTTGGCTTCATATTATAATTTGTTGGGGAGTCCCACAACACACCAATCAAATCAGAATCTCCAGGAGTGGAACCTGATATTAGTAGTGTTATAGCATTTTGAAAGCTCTCTAGGCAAATCCAGTGTGCAGTTAACTTTGATAACCACTGATCTAGATTTGATTTGAAATGGCGTGGTCAAGTTTCTGGCTGTACTTGCCTTAACTTGACTTGTCATGACTCAGGAAATATAGTAGAAAGATATTGAAGCTACACGTAGAACACGCTTGCATGTTCAGCTAGGAGGTAGGAGGGACAGCAGAAGCAGGGATGGTGACACAGGTAATGATAAAATAACATCAGTCTTACTTTCTTCTTTAGAATATGTGCATTGCCAGGCTGAATATGCAAAACCAGTCGTATGACATTCTACTGGGCTTCCCTTTGTCTCTTTCCTGGTATTGTTCCTTCCCATTCCCCCCAGATTAAATTGCCAATTTACTCTAACCCTCATGTCCCAGGTGTTTCCAATACATGAATCTATCGTAGCACCTACTAACATGTTGAGCTTTATCTCACTTGCTTATTAGTTTTTCTTTACTCAGTAGGTCATATGTTCTATGTTCTTTAAATGCAGGGAAAAATCTTATTTGTTTGTGGCCTTAGCACATGGAAATTAATAGAGACAAGTATTTGTTAAATGGTTGGATAGAATAGAACAGGAAATTATTGCTTTGGGGAAAATATACTGTAAGTTTCAAAACTATAGTGAAAAATTTGCATATAAAATATATATATAGATGTATATAGAGAGATAAAGCAAATATGACAAAATATTAACTGTGGAATCTAGCTGAAAGGAATATGGTTGTTTATTATACTATTCCTTTACCTGTTCCTTAGCTTTTAGTGTTTAAAATAAAAAAGTTGTAAAAAATACATTTGAAATAGTCCTTGATTTATTTATCTAAATTAAGAGCCATCTCTTTTAATAGGTGTTAGCACAATAAAACCCATTTTTTAAAATTCTTTATAAATTTTACAAAATTCCTTTTTCTTACCTAGGTATACTTTCACTTCTGAAGAGACGTAGGATTGCTTTTATACCAATCAGGATTAATTAAAACCCAAAGAAATAACAGGCACAATACTGATCAAAAGCCTTTTCATTGTAAGGTAAGCGTTGCTGGTGTGCGGGAGCTGTTTTCATTGCCTGTTTGTGCTTATCCACTTGTCTAAATCTGAATGTCCACATTAACTTCACTTGAAAAAAAAGCCCTATGTAATTTTGAAAATTCATTTTGTTTTTCTTAAATTTTCATTTGGTTACTTATAATGCTTAAGTCTAAAATGGCAATTTAGATTATGATTGATGGTATTAATTTATCTTTCTGTCGTACTAAGTCTATTCATCACCAGGGTGATACTAGTGTATATAGAATTTCTACTTTTTAACCTACAAGGTCCTAGAACCAATGTATTTTTGTTTATGTTCTTTGTGAATAGCTAGCATATTTGCATGTAAAATATTTGTATCTATCTTTGAAATATTTATTAAGGAGTATTCCTAACTGTTTTACAATAAAGGAAGTTATTTGCTATTCTATTTCTGTGGAGTAGAAAATGTGATCTCCTTCTACTCCCTCCAAAAAGGTGAATA